AGCACGTAATTTAGAAGAAGCAGAAACAGATATTGGAACATGCTCACATGAAAACTTAGTTCAAGCAGAGGATCAGTTCATGACCGTACCTATCTATGAAATAAAGTTGTTTGGTCAGTGAACCCGCGCTTCCCTGTTGCCTAGATAAATGGATAGCACACAGCGACAGCAATCCTATGGGCTGTGCTCTGCAGTGAACTTCAAGAATGTGCAGCCTGCATCAGGAACCATATTCAATCAAGCAACAGCAAAAACACGGGGGAAAAAGCAAGCTTTTCTCAAGCAAAGAAAGGATCACATTGATAAAGAAAGCGATACCCATCATTAAAGACGTTCTCTTGGAAAGGTGAAGGACTGCAATGATGCCAACTCCACACGTTAATATGTGATTCAGGAGGGAACACGTGCAGCCCTGTGCAGGGAGTGCAGCACGTCCTGCGTAATTCTGGTTGGAGCAGGAGCAGAGCTGGGCAGCAGCCAGGCCTGGATCATCTCAAACTGATAGAGAGAGCACACGTGTTTAGAGAGAGCCAGCGCCAAATATGCAGCTCCTAGCTTCCATAAAACATAAGGTGTTTTATTTCTGCATCAGATGTTTCAAACACAATTGACTTCTATTAAGTTTCAATGTAAACCACTTTGCTTTCCTAATGTAGCATGAACCTTAACTGTGGCCATTTCAGACACATTATGTGGATACCATATTACCAAACAAAAAGATGCACATTTGCTGTCTCTTGGAAGAATATTCTTTCCTTCTCCCCCTCACCCTGTCTGGAACCTGGAGCTTTTTCAGCTTTTCAAATCTTTCTCAAACATATTTGTACATATGTTACAGCAATTTTCCTTAATATTTATTGTAAATATTATGTTCTTATTAATAGATAGCCAAAATGAGTGTTGGCATTGTTTTGTTTCATAGGACTCAAATAGGAAAGAACTGCCACGATGAAGCTAGAAGTTATTCACCAGCTCAGGGTAAGTATTTTGTGGACATCAAGAAAGATAACGTCCCTTCCCCTGTGCAGGTCAGTTCACCAAGGGCTGTTTGCAGTGGGCAGTGCAGTTGTGTTAAACACCTCTGGCAGGAGCCTCAGTGCTTTGCACTGTGCAATCACGGGGATATACAGCACACTGCACTGCCGATCAAAAAGCAGGGCAGTTTAAAGGACTTCCTTTAATCAGGCAGTGAGAGAGGCTGCTGATAGTTGGCTGCTTCTGGCTCACAGGCTAAAACTTGATCACAGGTTTTCTAACAGCAAATTATAGAAAAAGCCAAGGAAATGTCAGTAATTTCAGCTGGTGAGAGTTCATGGGACTCCTTTCCTCAGTTCTGATTCATAAGCAACTTTGTGCAGCCCACGTTCCAGGTCTGCAATTCTAAACCTTGCAAGCAAAAGCTGAATGCCCTGTTTCTTGTCAAGGAAAAAAAGTGCTGCAAGTTGATCACGAGGGCTCTGGTGACAGTGACCTCAGGCTCAGGTCTATGGATCCTGCTGAACTCTGCAGGTTGCATTTTGCCTACTTGTTTTTTCATATAACAAATCCCATTTCCTCCTCAGTTAGCCAAGAAACAGACCTGTAATAAACTTCCATAAGCCTCTGCTTAGGAAAGTAAATAGAAGAGAAGACAGCCCTTATCCTGAAAACTGCTCTTCCAGTTTCCATCAGACATGCCACCCTTCCTTTGTGGCACCCTGCACTGCCTGGAGCTGCTCCTCCTGCGTGTGCCCAGAGGACATGGCACAGACACCCACACCAGAGGCAACAGGCCAGCAGTCCGGTGATTTTACATTTCTTTCCCTGCCACAGCTGCCAAAGCCTTTTTGGGTACGCCCACATCAGCCAGTTGATCCAGAACTGAGCAAAACGTGGCCTGAAGTTACTGAGATCAAACGAGACCTCTGGATGAGTATTTACAGCATTAAGAAGAAGCAAGAACTGCTGATAAAGTGCACTTCAAGTGTTCCTGGCCTCTGAACCAGCCCTTCCAATGCAGCCCCTACCCAAAGTGAGGAGGGAAGCAGTGCCGTCCCTGCAGCCTGCAGCAGCTGTGTGAGCAAACAGCGAGCGAGCCCACTGCGTGCAATGGATGAGGTGTGAAATTGGTTCTGTCATCTCCGCACACAGCACAGCCAGTCAGGCCTTCCTGAGGGGCTCCGCAGATCACAATTTCCACTTGTTTTATTCGAGATCAAGGCGAGAGCACACAGAGAGCCCTGCCCTGCTCTTCCCCGCTGCACTCTGTGGCTGAACGAATGAAGAAGGCAGCATAAATCCACGGAGAAGAGACGAAGATGTGGGGAGGGAAGGAGTGACCACTTCACCTTTTGCTGCTTTCACTGGGCTCTAATTAGGAAGCTGGCAGTGCCACCCCGCAGCGGGAAGCCCACATTATTAACGCTGGCACCGAAAGCAAACCGACTGCAATCTGCAGAGCGGCTGCCCAACTGGCACAGCCTCCCACCGCTCCTGGCCCAAACACTACAACAGATGTCTGAAGGCTCGGTGCTTCTTTCCCTGTCCCCTACTCACACGACCCTCTACCAGAGCTTACATGCACGAGTGCCAAGGTATGGGTTCTGAATGGGTCAAGGAAACATCCTTAGGAGGGGATTTCTTTGAAGCATCCCTCCATGTGAACAGTCCATTGGGGCTGTGAAGAGCGTGCAGCCTGGTGTAGAAGTGTATCACCATTCAGCTGTAATTACAGTAATCTGCCATAGTCAGAGCAAAAAAAAAAAAAAAAACAACCAACGGCCTTTCCTCTCTTGTTATTCTGAATCATTTGTAGATGTTCATGTTTTAATCATATTTTTCCACATGAATCAATACAAGAGAGAGAACGACAGAGAGATAATTACGTGCGCTGAACAAATATTCCACCTAACAGAGGTTGTGCTGCTGGTAATTAATGAGGCACTGCCACACACTTGTCAAGTGCAACCAGCTCTTTAAGGGCAAGCCATCATTTCAAATCCTGGGCTCACAGAAATTTAATGAAAAAGGAAAGAAAATAATGATGTCCTGCACTGTCTCCAGCAGAATTAGGTTCTGAAGAGCTCTGACCTGGAATGCAGAGCAGCGCAGTGCCAACGGTGCCAGGAATGCAAAGCGCAGCCTCGGAGCAGGGTCAAGGGGCACAACGTTCCCAAAGAGACATGGAGCTACAGGAGAGCTGCACTGAGGCTGAAACACAGAACTCCATTCTCTCGGTTAGAAAGTCTCCCTCCTCTAGCACGAAAATCTCCAAAGTGCTGAGTGGGATTTTTGAGGATGCACATTTCAGAGGTAGCCACAACCCACACTCCTTCTGCACACAGATCCTACAGCAAGACAGGGAATCCGGATCTCCCCAAGCGTCTAACAGCACCCCAACCCCTGGGCTGCCCGATCCCTCCCTGCCAAATTTAACTTCCAGCATCCAAATGAATGTTATAATTGCCATGGTGCAGCAGCAAGCATCTAGCTTGAATTATAATATGGTACATAATATGCTACCAGTTCAGCGTGTCAAAAGCACTTCCCTCCTCTCCACTTCCATCCTAGTTCTCCTGTTTCTCAGCTTTTAAATACCCCCTTGTTCTTTCTACACATGCATTGTGAGACACAATTTATTTCTGCAACACGCCATTACAGCAACAGAAGTGTGAGAGTAGGTGGGGACAGCAGACAAGCAGAGGTGTGAATGGGTGGGAACTCCTAAGTGCTACAGTGAGCCACCAGTCAACACCTTCAGGTTTCAACAGAAGGGGGGGACAGGAGGAGAAGAATGTATCTTCATGTGCTTTATAAGTTTCATGAACATTAGGGAGCTCTTGTGCCAAGGCAGACGCTGCCTTGCAGAGATTGCACCCAGTGCACTTCAGTTAGCCACAAACAAGAGACAGAGCTGTACACATGGCAGCACTAACACTCCAACATCTACCCCTTACAGTGGTGTAGCCCTCCCTTTATTTCCTTTCTGTTTGCAAACAAGAAGGAAATATTGTTACAGGGAAAAGAAAAAAAAAAAAAAAAGAGCTGTTTCCTACATGCATCCAAAATAGCATTGCTGGACACAAGATGAAGACACAAAACAAGCATAGGGAAAAACTCTTACATTTTCACATTCATAGCTTTTCACAGCAAATTTCTCTAGTGTTATTTTCTCATCCAAACTCTTCAATAATATCATTAATTTCGCTGGGGGTAGGGGTGAGATTTGAAGGGCCTGAAATCCTCCCTTGCCACACAGCTTTAAGCCATTTGTGCAGCTTAGTACGATGGCTACTATTCAGTGAGACAGCTGTACATCCTTTCTGAGGGTGTGGTGAAACCCTGCCCTTACTACATGCACCAAGGCCCCAGCTTCATCCACAGAACACAAAGAAACAGGACGATGAAAGAAGATGGCAAGAAAAGTACAATCCCCAACAGGCTGAGCAACTTCTGATGTCAGCACAAGCACTTGTACCCCATATTCTTCGCCAGGAGCTGCTGCAACAGGCACAAAAATGCCTTTGCAGTAAGCATACAACTAACAATGAATTCCCTTGTGCAGGAGATACCTTAAGGAATAGCTGCACTGCACACAACAAAGTGGGGAGTAAATGGATTGGCCAGCATGCCTCTTCTGCTCTCCCTCTCAATAACTGAATGGCTGTGTTCTTTACAAGGGGGACTTGGTGGGCTTTAGAGGGTTATAACTCATCTGTATGTATCTGAATCAGAATGAAGCTTAGTTGGTAAGACAAGGTCATGGCCCCAAAACCAAATATTTTCCCCAATTCTAAATTACGACAGAAAAATCACATGCTTGGGTTGAAAGCAGGAGAGGGCAAAGTAATTGGAGTTGATGGTGCTGAATGTACTGACAGCTGATTTATGAATCATCTTCTCCTGAGCAATGAATCCATAAGGAACCTCAGTGACTGGCCAAGCCTTGACTTAGCAATGCTACCACTGTCTTCCTTGGGCCAGAACTCCACCTTAAGTTTTGTTTTTTGTTTTTTTTTTAGTATCAGCCAAATTCACATCACATCAGCTGCGTAATCCTGGGCAGAGATTGGGCCATCGTGTCAGGAACTGTCTCACACTGAATGTTCGGCACAAGGAAACCTCGTATGAGAACTAAGATTTTGTGTTTTTTTCAATGTGAAAAATTCTGGAAATGCTTCTATATTGATTTTAATTCAATCAAAGCTGTCTTTTGCCATCTGTCCAACTTGTACAAGGACTTCAAAACCACAGTTTGTGTGTATGCACCCAATCATGGTATTGGTCATCGTCCCATTGGCCAGCCACGAGGAAGGAGACACCAGAGGCACAAGCATCAGCTATGGAACCCTGAGACATCAAGTGCCCAGAGAACAGACTTCATCCCACACCAGTAGATGGAAAGCTGCCTTCAAAAATACAACAGAAACAACTGTACATGTGAAGGAGGAGAGAGAAACAGAGGAGAATGGAATAAAGGGAGCATAATTTTTATACTCAATTTGAGGAAAACACATCCCCAGTAAGATTAAGCATCACTGCATCTAGTGTTTACTAACACAAAGCTTGGATTCCCTAACAGACTACTTCCTGGGAGATTCCCTTTATGGAAATGTCTACAGCTGTCCCTATTCAGTTTTAGCTTCACTGAAATCCACTGTCATCATTCAACTGCTTTATAAGTGCTTCACCCTCGAGAGACAGCCTGAAATGCATTTTGCATTTCCAGAAACACAAAGGGAACCACTTTCCTCTGTGCTGCACGTTAGCAGTTTACTGCAATCACTACACAACCTTTTAATTTCTTGTGGACATCTCTCTCCCTGCTGTACAGCCTTTCCTCCTAGCTCTGTTATTCTGCCGTACTGCCGAGCCTCAGATTTCCTCAATCACTGTTGTGCCTTCAACAGGTAATTTTTCTCTAATGTGGGAATTCTTCTTTTCTAATCGGGCCACCATCCAATCTTTACAGAACATACCTTACATGAGCAGGTGCTTCACATTGAGCACAGATGCCCAGAAATTCATGTTGATGCATTTGGGCAAGAAACTTTGCCAGCTCAAGCTTCCTCGTTATACTTTGGTTCCACCCAAACTAGTGCTGCAAAACAGGAAAAACAGAGTTTCTCACAGTGCCTCAGCACTTCTGTGGCAGCCAGAAGTGGGTTTGACAGAGATGTGCATGAACAAAAAATAAGTAAATCCAGTGTATAAATAAGGGATAGCTATGCTCTGTTTTCAAAGAGGGATCTCCCAGCAACAGATGCCTTCCTTCCTTACCTAATACTCAGTAACAGACTTACAGGGTTGGCATATATATTCGATATCTACACACGGAGTAACCCATTTTCAAAGCCTGACTATTAGAAATGTACCTGTACGAAGGTCAAAACATATGCATGTTGCTTTTATCTGTACCTACAAACTGAGCAACAGCCAATTACAATTCAGTCATCTGTGGCGTGTGTACAAGTGAACATCTCTGAGTGCCAAGGATGGATTAGACAATCCTGGCCAAATACAACTGGAAGCAATGTCGAGGCTCATGTACTTACCCACTCCAGCATGCTGGCAGGTTCACCCCTGAGTGAGCCAATACCACATCACCCATTTTGCAGTACAGCTTTTTTTTTTTTTTTTTTGCTATTTGCAAAGGACCAATGTTTGTGTTGCTTCAGAGTTCCAGAGGAACCATTCCCATGCTGTATGTGTAATCCTGGCTTGTGCAATGCTGTGGTAATAGCAGCCCTCGGTGTTGCCATGGGGTGCAGCAGAAACAGGAAGAGAGACCAGGTAGGTGTGTGGATGACTTAGTAACTTAAATATATATATTTCCACTAGTTCTGCCTCTGCAGTGCTGGAATGTCTTATTTACTCATGCAAAGAGGAGGCTGTAAGGACACAGCTTCCCTTAGTCAGTCTCCTCCTATTCAGCTGCAGCAGAGCGGAGGAATTGAACCACATTTAAGCCCGTAGAGTTGCTATTGAGTTCCACCCCATCCCCCCCTCCCTCCTTTTTCCTTCTTTTCTTAATCCAAGATTCAGACGGGAAAGCAGCACCACTTTCCACTGCAGCCAGGGCACATGGGGAAACTTCTCAATTGGCTTTTGAAATCTTATTTCCAGGATTTGGGAGAGCTTTCCAAAAAGTGCCGTGGCCCACCCACATCCAAACAGCACTGGAGGAGCCATCGCCTGTTGCAGGACATGTGGGTGGGCCCTTGTGTTCTGGACACTTGTTAAAAATAAATAAATAACAGAACTTCAAAGCGAACTCGCTGAAGCACTTCAGAAATTAATGCCGGGTGGAAAAGATGATTAGTGGCTTCTTGTACTCTCTTTTTAAAGCTATTGATCTTGGACACAGGAAGGAGCTTTCATATTCTCCGCAAGCCACAGATGGTCAAAAGGGTCCTGAGAGGAAGAGACAAAACGCAACCACAGGAGAAATCCAGAGGGTAACAGATCACACAAGGTGTGTCGCAGGGACCCACTAACACCACAGAAAAGGATGCACGAGAATAGCAGCTGCTTCTTGTTTTGCCACTTTTCTGTTCCTTCAGCTTTCTCAAATTGTTGCCTATACTTGCTTCCTCAGAAGTAGGTGAGCTCTGTGAGCCATATTCCAGCATATCAGACACACCACAATCACCAAACAAAAGGATCTGCCAAGCTGTCCATGCTGCCTTCAGACCTACAAACTAAAAACACAGAGCTCATGTGTAAGAGGGCAGAGGAAGGCATCATAAGACAAGGAGAGCAAAGTCCTCCATCAAAGCCAACTGTTTGATGACTGAAACCAGTGGAATCTCTCTCTCTCTCTCTGGACAATTTTGTGGACTTTCTTAAAACTGAATTTTCCATATAACAGATAATTGTTGCAGAAAACACAAAGCATAAGCCCTAAAGTGTCTTCAGCATAGTCCTGTGCTTGGTCAGATTTTCTTCTGGGAAGCATTATCCTTTTTCATCTCCAATCAAAATACAGGTAAATGCACAAAATAATGCCCATTCCTCCATAGCTCACACAAACTGTGTTTTCATTAGAACAAAACTCATACCTTCTAATTAAATTTCCTAGGAAGCTTAACATTGCCTTCAGTGATGAAGTTACAGCTGTAAGTAAACAGGACCACACCTCTCCCCCAAAGGCTGCTGTTCACTGACAAGTCTCTGCTGCCACGTGGGACTTACCGAGCTCCACGTCCTGCTCTGCCCAACATTAGGACACCCAGGCACTGGCCATTCCTCATCCTGAAATAGATGAATGCTTTTTTTCAGTACGTACATATTGGCATACTGACTGAAATTAAAATTTGAGCAATTATATTTGTGAGTTTGCCATTTCTCTTAAACTACCTTGGCTTTCCACACCCAGCTCCCTTGTGGCAATGAAGGCAATGGGACCATTACAAGGATGGAACAGCAGAGAAACAAAGAGCAGGTGCATGGGAGAGGAGGGGAAAGGGGGGTTGTTTAAGTTGGCAGATGTTCCCCCAGCTACGTCTTTAGGAAGGAAGGCAGAGGCTCCAAAATGCCTTCATGGAAACAAAAGCACCTTTAAACTCCGAGCAAGGAACCGCTCCTCTGATCTAAACCTTCTTTCTGAAAGAGGTTTAAGGAGCTGAGGCATCATGGAGCTTGATGACTATATTAACATTTTGACATCTCATTGCACAGTCACTGGAACTACACTATTAGCAAGGATCTCACAGCATTAAATTCCACTGTGCAATACTCTGTATCAGGAAAGACAAAAAACTCATTAGTTTTTTTTCCTGTCCTTCTTCCTTTTTTTATCCTTCTCTTCCTCCCACAAGAAATAAGCGAGTACTGTGCAATCAGAAGATGCTCCCTCAGAAGGAACCAGGAAAGCAACAATTTGGACAACTGCTGAATTTTATTTTTAATACAGATAAAAGACATTTCTGCTTCATCCTAGTGATTGTTTCAGAGGCTCTTCTCACTAATTCCAGCAGATGAGCAAAAGAAATCAAGTCAGATCACATTACTTGCCATATTTTTCAGGGTTCTGGGGATGAGAAAAAGGGGGAAAAGGGAGAATAGGAAACTATAAAGCAAGAGTTGCAGTCATCTCACAGCACAGAATTGAAATACAGGTAGCAGGATGCAAGGTGGCCCAAAATCCCATCTGTGGGATTCTCCTGCATTGCATCCTAGATCCTCAAGGAAACTAAGAGAGATGCTCACAACACGCTTGATTGGAAAAGCATCAAGCATCTCATTCTATTACCAAGCAGAGCTGTGAAAGTGTTTCTCATCATAAAGTAAAATGACTAAGTTTGGGGTGCTTTACTGGCCCTGTAGAAGTGTGATAGTGTAAAAGAAAAAAAAAAAAAAGAAAAAAAGAAAACCAAAGGAATTTTGCAAGCAGAGCAGTGCTGTCTGCAGGTGAGAGCACAGGAGCCAAAAGACTGGTAGGCTGCTCCCAGTGCCATCAGCTTGCAGCAGCACTGAGCAGGTGGCTCAGCATCGCTGTGGCTCGGCTCGGTCTGCTGTCACACAGGTGCTGTGAGCACACTGAGCTGCACTGTCAGGTACTGTGCGACTGCGTGGCTCCAGTAATGAATGACTGCAGGGTGCAACTGAGACCTTCTGACAGAAGTGCTTCAGTGGTTGTAATAGGCTGCAATAAATATTATTATTTATCATCATTCAAGGGCAGACTCTAGATGGACATATAAGCTAAAGACCTTTTCAAGGTATTTATTATCTCTCTCAAGGGATGTAAGAAACTATTACCTCTCCTACTAACATGAAGATGCTGTCTAAATTTTCCTTTAAGGAGCAGAAAGACTTCCACTATCACAATAATGTCTGCAAATTTTACTCAACACTTTCAATGTCATAGAATTAATGTAAACTGAGTGATAATTACATTCTATGCTGCTTTGTATATGCATTTCCCAATGCCTGGGGGGTGGTTTCTGTGTCTCTGCTTCCAAAAACATTTTATCATAGTGGCATCCTTTGGTATTCTATATTTCTAAAAGACAGCAAAGGACAGCAAAACCTTTCACAGTATTTTCAATACAAAATGAACTAACAATTCAATAACCAACTTTCCCTAACTAGGGACTAAAATGGTAACACACCCATCAAGTCAGGGATCACACCAGTCCTCTATAATACACGCACCATTTCATTTCCTTCCTCTTTGGCACAACTGCATCTGTCTGGACCAATACTCTGCTACTTCTGTTCAAGGCACTCTTTACAGCACCTCAGTTTTCATCTGTGTTTACTGATGTGAACCGCTATTATTTACACCTTAGTTACAGAATTGACAATGTATTATTTTAATTCTTAAACCCTTCGGTGTTACCTTCTGTGTTTATTCTAGTCCAGAGCTAATAACAGCCCCAATCCTGCCATCAGATCCTCTGTATCAATTTGCTGTTTCAAGTCAATGCAGTTTCAAAGGAACTCAAGCAGGGTGACCCCATTGCCCGATGAGGAACAAAGTTCTCATCAAATGCTGGTATGGCACCAACTCTCAGGGGAGGAGCAGCACCAAGTGAGTGCTCCAGCCTCTTAATTTTCCTTGATCACAGCACTTTTGCTACAGTATCTCTCAGCAAAGGCTTGAGACAATTAATGAGGAAGCACCCTGGAGTGTGAACAACAGACCTTAACCACCATTTGAAGCCAATCTTTATTAATCTCTCAAATTTCTGTAAGGAAAGGTTACACACACAGGGATATTTTATATTATACATACTTGCTTTGGTATTCCTTCTGCTTGGGAATAAAGCTTAGATGCAGAAGGGCCCTTTTGCAATATTTTAAATGTAGCTGTTAATCACAGCTGCACTAATAACTTAGCCCATGTTGCCATCTGAGTGATCACTTCAAAAACATCACATAGCCTATGGTGTAGGAATCAAAGAAGAAATATTGGGTCATTTTCCACAAAATGCTCATTTCATTTTGAAGCATAGGAGGTACTACCGACCTGATGGCTACAGACAGTATAAAGAGTTCGATGTTGAAAGCATCTGTACTGAAAAAGGCAAAATAAGAAAGAGACCTTTAGCCTGAATGTCTCGGCTTTCCATATGGGTGGCTGACAAGCTGGGCTATAGGGTAAACCACCCTGTGCCAAGCACCACGGAGCCTGGAGCCAAGAATGGGATAATTTCAGGCAAGACCCAGTCTCCAGAGCCAAAACCACTGGCCTGAAAGCTTTTCTCAGAAGGTTTGCTGTTCCCATCACTGCTGGGATGAATTTTAACTCATTATTGATCAAGGGAATTTTAAAATCAATTTTAATTAAATGAAAGATTTCTATCATGGCTTGTTCTGTGTGGAAGTCACACAGACGACATATAAATATATGGAGGCAAATCAAGCAGAGCAGATTTGTAGCTCTTAGGCCCTAAACAGGTGAGAAGCCAGAGTTACATCTCAAAGCAAATTTGTTATAGTAAATTACCTACATGACTTGCATCTCCCCACACCTGTTTTTTACCTACTTCTTGCTTCTGCCACGAAAATGTAGTCAGACTTGCTTTTTCTTACCGAAGCAACTATTTTAATTAGGTCTCCCTCAGAGCCCAACACAACCAGAGAAGTAACTACAGGCAGTGGCTGGAGCAGGGTCTGCCCAGCTTACCCAGCCAGCAGGTCCCACACGGCAATGAGAAGCAGCAGTCCCACTGCTGGGGCTCAGCCTCCACAGGCAGAGACTCCTCCAAGTCCCATCTCTGGGGCAGGCAGGTGCTGGATCTGCTGTGCGAGACGTTAACAGAAAGGATGGATGCAGTCAAACAAATTGCTTAATGAAAAGACTGACCAACAACTTCAGGCAAGGAAGCAAACCCACCTACTCACAAATTATTTTGCGTTTCCCACGCTGAAGCCTAGGGAGATGCTTTAGGCCTTCTTCCCATGAGCAAAGAGTACATGCCCTTGCCTTCCCCCTTCACTAGCCTCACCAGGAGCTGTTCCTGAGCTGCCTGAGTTTCTACTCATAGGAGAACATGGCTTTCACCTCATTCCAGGAGTAGCCAGCTGCCTGACAACTGTATGAGCAGTACCTGGTTTGTAGAGCAGCTCACAGAGAGCTCATGCTCATGGAGCCCCATGGCAATCAATGGACATCAGGCAATGATGTCCTTGTGGAAAGCTCAAAGCAAGCCCATCTGCATCTGCCATCACCAGCACACCCCAACCCATAGCACTCTGCCTCAGGCACAAGGTCATCACAGTGCTGGTGCTGTAGGTCACAAGTTCAACCCCCAAGCTCAAGCTTGTGTTCACTTGAGGCTCCAAAGCAGACCAGTGGAAGCTGACACACATAGACAGTAATGCACAGACTCATGAGATTCCTGTACCAATTACCACTAACATGAGGCTTTTCACGTAGTAAAAGCTTTACAATTATTAATTCACTATCATTAATTCACTAGTCGTCACACCAAGCTCTCTCAGTAGGGCACTCTTATGCTGTTCTTCAGGTAAGAAATCAAAGGGCCAAAGGGTTAAAGTGACTTGCCAAAGGCCATGGAGAGAAATCAATGGAAAAACTGGGATTAGAACTAAAACAAGATAGCCAATGCCTTGCTTCATGTTTAATCCACTTTGCCTCACCAAATCAAAGGCAACAAATAAAATAAACAAGGTCCCACATGGCTCCACATAGCCAGCAGAGGTTTCTTCAGCCATAAGGTCTCCAGCAAGCCCAGTCAGAACCTGCAAGAGTTTGCTGTGTTTTCAAATACAATGCATACTGCAGTAAATAAGTTATTTTACAATCCTGGCCCAGTTTTCAAAGTGGCCTCAATCAGTGTTGTGCAAAACATTCATGTCCAACCACAAAATTACAATCAGTCTTTGTTTGACTGCAGCCCGTGTCCCCAGCCAGCAGCGGTTAGTCCCAGCTCTTAGGGTCTGTGAACTGTTAGGCAAAGGTTTTTGCAATGTTTCTGCCCTGCTTGTATTTTTCTGAATATTTATAGGCTGCTGCTCTGCAGTGACTTTCATGTTCGAGCTGTGTTGGCTGGCGGGTTGGAAGGGGATGTAAATAACAGATAGAGTCACATGTTTTCCACTAGCCCCTCTTGTTTGGCTTCCAGTAAAAAACAACACCATGAGACACGTGTTGCAAGAAAACAACTGCAAGGCCTGACTGTGGACGTTGAAATTGGTGTAATAGTATTTCTACACACTTGAATGTTTTCAAACACCCAGCTATTGTGAAACAAAGCCAACTGTTTGGAGATTCAAGCAAACCTGTGCAGTTAAAACTTGTAGCTTTGCTTAACATTTCAGGGGTCAGGATGAGAAATATCCCTTTCAAGAGCTCTTGATGAGGACAATGAAGCACCGACAGGAAGAATTAGCCTGAAAAGACCACACTGTGCTTTACCCTGTGATCAGTGCACCCCAAAGCAGTATCTCAAAGCTGAATCATTGCTGCTGATGTGATCAATGGAGAGCACTGAGCACAAAGGGATTGCTGCCGTTGGCACTTTAAGTCATATCAAACAGCATGAAGAAATCAGAAA